ACGCACGCACGCACGCACGCACGCACGCACGCACGCACGCACGCACGCACGCACGCACGCACGCACGCACGCACGCACGCACGCACGCCGCACGCACGCACGCACGCACGCACGCACGCACGCACGCACGCACGCACGCACGCACGCACGCACGCACGCACGCACGCACGCCCGCACGCACGCACGCACGCACGCACGCACGCACGCACGCACGCACGCACGCACGCACGCACGCACGCACGCACGCACGCACGCGCACACACACGCACACATACACATACACACAACACTCACAATCCTGGGGCCTCCTGGAGCCTCTGCTGGTATCCAAGTCTTGCCTCCTGAGGCTTCCTGGGGGGCCCTGGTAAACACATCGCAAGGTGTGGCAACCCCACTTGCGCTCGAGTGCGACTTCGCTGTTGCATTTCCTTCGTGCTTCAAACGCCCCTTCAGTTTTTTGTATGAGCCTGGGCACACACGTGCCACTTGTATATGTGTATATATATACATATAGGTGGATTGGTCTTTAGATATACACATCTATGTGTATTCATATATAAGAATAGTCGTAATACTAGTAATCATAATAGTCATACTATATAGCTATATATATATGTGTATAGATTGCCCGGCCGCCCTTGAGCAGGCGTTCCTGACACAAGAAACGTGTATTGCATACCGTTCTGTATCCGCTACGTCATGTTGGTCTTATGGAAAAGCATGTTCGGGCCCCAGGGCCCTCAAGCACGGATGCAGGATTCGACCCTTCCCCCAGGGATGGGGTCGGCATTTTTGGGGCCTCCGGATCGAGGACTCGTATGTTGGAACTCTTCGGGGGGGGGGCTCGAGGACCGAAGTGTGTGTCGCTCGGCGTACTCCTGTGGAGGTCTCCATGGGGCGCTCCCGCGGCCACGGCCGGAGACGCCGAGGGATCCTGGCCAGAGCTCGCCTCTGCAGGACTGGGGGGGGTCCACTTGCGACGCCTGGTCCCGAACCTTTGGGGCCGGACGGAAGGGGGGGATTGGGAAAGGGCGGGGTACGAAATCTGCTGCCTGCAGCCGCCGGTTTCGGCCCCCCCGAGGGGCCCATTCTTCGATATACGTGGCCGCCTCCGGCGCCGGGAGGCGCCGGGAAAGTCAGCCGCGTGAGCTGGGTCTCACCCCCCCCCTCTGCTATAGCCCCCCCTTTCGCCCGGCCCGAGCCTCCACGGCGACTGGGGTTTGGGCCCAGATTTCTTGGGAGCAGGAGGAGGAGGAGGAGGAGGAGGAGGAGGAGGAGGAGGAGGAGGAGGAGAGAGGGAGGAGGAGGAGAGGACGAGGAGGACGAGGAGGACGAGAGGACGAGAGGACGAGGAGGAGGAGGAGGACGAGGAGGACAGAGGAGGAGGAGGAGGAGGAGGAGGAGGAGGAGGAGGAGGAAGGAGGAGGAGGAGAGAAGATCCAGTGGCATGCTCGAGTGGCCTCCTCGGTGGCCAGCGGCGGTGGCGCCCTGCCTGGGGAGGGAGGGGGGGGGGCGGGCTGCCCCGCGCGCCCCGGGAACGGGCCAGGCTCCCGCCACCGCCAGGGGCAGGACCTCGACGGAGGCTCGCGCGGCTCTCGCGGGCGGCGTGGGGGGGGGTCCAGAGGGGGGGGGAAGGGGAGGGGGAGAGGGGAGGGGAGGGGGAGGAGGGGGAAGAGGAGGAGGAGGGAGGAGGAGGGAGGAGGAGGCGAGGAGGAGGAGGAGGAGGAGGAGGAGGAGGAGGAGAGGGAGGAGGAAGGAGGGAGGAGTAGGAGTAGGAGGAGGAGTAGGAGTAGGAGTAGGAGTAGTAGAGGAGGAGGAGGAGGAGGAGGAGGAGGAGGAGGAGGAGGAGCAGGAGGAGGATGCGGAGGAGGAGGAGGAGGAGGAGGATGAGGGGGAGGGGGAGGTGGAGGGGGAGGACTCCGAAGAGAGAGGGCGAGGAAGGCAGGAAACGGGAGGGGGGAGGGAGAGGGTCAGGAGCAGGATGAGGGGGAGGTGGACGAGGAGGGGAGGGGGAGGGGTTCCCCGTCATCCACCCCTCGTGGTCCTCTTGAGCATCCGCATCCTTCTCCTCGCCACCCTCATCCCCATTCTGGCGCTCCCTCCCTCGTCCGCTGCTGCTCCAGCACCTGCCCGCGCCACCAATCATGCTTCTGCTCATCTTCCTCCCCGCCCTCTCCTCTCCGTCCTGCTCCTCGTCGTCTCTGCTTCGTTCTCTTCGCAGGCGCCCCAGCCGTCGTCGTCGTCGTCGTCGTCGTTGTCGTTGTTACTCTTCTCGTCTTCGTCGCCCCCGCCCCCGTTATCGTCTTCTTCATCCGTTCCCGCGCTGGGGCATCCGCCCAGTCCCCGCCTCGCGGCGCCGTTCAGGGCTCAAGGTCTCCTCCCCTTCGGCAAAGCGCCCGCAGCCAGCCGCTGCCCCCCCGCGGCTGCACCGCCATTCAGGATCGAGGGGAGGGGGGTGATTGATGATTGATGACGATGGTGGTGGTGGTGGTGGTGGTGG